CTGGGAGAGAAGGACTGCTGGAGATCAACAGACAGATATCCTGAGCCTTTGGGATCCCTAACCCCCAGGATGGGCTACTCTCACTGTCTCAGCACTCAGCATCCCTGACCCCAAGCTAGGCTGTGTGTCACAGAGTGCCCCACCAGGCACCCCTCCATGGTCCTCCAATCTCAACCTCAAAACATAACATAAATGCAAACAAGCCACTTCACAAGAAAAAGTCTTTCCTACTCAGGGTTACTGTTGCCTACAAGCCATACCTCCCTTAGAGCCAGAACCGACCCAAGCAGGTCAGCCTGTGCAGGGCTGCACCCCCACCCTGGTTCCACGCACCCCAGATGCAAAGCCAATGGCGGGGGGAAGGGGAGTAGCGAGCGGCTGAACGCAAAGCCAGCGGCGATGGCGCAGTTGCCACTGATGCTCTGCCCGGCTCCATGGGGTCTGGGGTGGTCACCCCCATTTGCACCCCCCAGGGATGGCCCTGCTTAAAGCCCTCTCATCACAGCTCTCCTGGGTGTCTGTCTGTCAGTCTCCAGCAGTCCTTCTCTCCCAGGAGGTCCTCACCCTGCAGGATGCAGGAGCAGATTGCCTGCATGTGCTCAGGGACTGGGCTTATGTGCTCCAAAGCCCCACCCCTTCCTGGCACATGGCCCCCTAGCCATACAGGGGTTTCTACTTGGGCTGATGGCCAATTCTGGAGCTGGGGCTGGAGCTGCTGCTACTGCTACTGTAAAGCTGAGTGTGGGCCAGTGAGACTGTGCCCCATGCTATGGGCCAGAACAAGACAGAGGTGGAGCTACGGAGGATAAATGGCAGAGGGGAGGGACAGGCAGAGATGGCAGTGGGAGCAGCAGGTGGTGGAGGGGATGGGTGCAGGGGAGCTGTGGCTCCAACTCCAGCCCCAGGTGAGGGCTGGAGTTGGAGTCACAGCAACCACCTTCCCCACTTCGGTCCCCCACTTGTACTTGATTCCAAACTGAGGAGCTTTTCCCCCTCATATAAAATGGGGAAAACACTTCATCTTGGATTTGACTGATTACAGTAATTAGAAAGCACAGTGCCTACAGTTGTGATTGGCTCTTATTCTGCATTAGATGGTTCTCTTCAAGATCCTATTACCACAGTGAACCTGGACAGGAAGCAGACACAATTTGACTGCAAATGCTGGGAGACTGGCTACCACTATTAATGTATACTAGTGTAGAGGGGACCTATAACTAATTTTTTGCCCTGGATGGGCATTTAAAGTTGCCCTGGATAGGCATTTAAAGTTGAAAGTCCCATTAGCAAATGAACTGAAAGCCTTAAGGTACAGAACTCTTTGGAAGAGTTCACTCTGAGAACAGCCCTTCCCCTGATTCCCCTCCACCTCTCCCCACCCAGGCCCAGGATCTTCTGGAAAAATATCAAGGTGGGTGCGTTGAGAAACAAATGTGAAAGAAAAGCTTTCCAAGAAAATCTAGACAAAACAACTCTTTTAAACAATATTAGCATCCACACCAAAATCATAGGTTAAAAGTATAAAATTCAGAGAGCTAGCAAGAGAAATTAAACATATGTAGATTAATTGCTCATCATTTTGGAAATTATGTCCTTCATAGTATTTATTATGTATTTGAGAATGGGCACAACTTAAAAGGACTTGGAAGAAACAAGTTATCTGCCTGTCCAGTTTTAGCAAAGTGTTTGCATGCATACATCATGCTGAAAATTTACCCTTACAATCCCCCACTATATGTTTGTTCTGTAGTCCAAAAGCCACTAAAAACAGAAAGCTCCAGTTTTTTAGCAATGCAAACTACCATCTTCCAGGGGCAAATATTTATTTCATTTTAAATAATTTTAAATAAGTGGTCACCTTCTATTTTTTTTAAAAATAAGTTATACAACTGCATGAGCTGTTCCTTTTTTTTACTAACTTATGCTTTGTGCCTGCATTGGAAACAAGGCTAGTAGATGCAACTCCTCTCCAACAATAACTCTAGAAAAGCTGAATATTATTGCTGGCATGAATATGTTGTGTACTGAGGTAGCAAGATATAATGAAAACTTCCACTGTTCATTTGGTAAATATTTGAAAAGCTGTTTGGTATAGTTATACAGTGAGAAGTTGTCAAATGTATTAGTTAATAAAAGTTTTATTAGTAGGGCTGTTACTTACATGAGATTCTTTGAAACAAAAAATACTTCCAAATGGGAAATTAATGAAATTGTCCATTTTTTAGCATTAACAGCTGGGAAGCACCCAGAAGATCAGCATGAAATTGGTCTGAAACATTGGGAAGAAGCTGATGAGAAGGAGGAAGACAGCGAGAGAGGTCAAGAAAACTTAAGAGACAAAAAAGAGAGAGATCCTGAAAAAAACAAACTAGAGGAAGCAACATGCAAGTCTGATGACATCACTGACAGTTTATATGCCTGCATATGTGATGATGATGATGATGATGATGATGGTGAACATGAAGTGGGCAGAAGAGACTTCTTTCTCTTTGACAGGCCACCCCTACCTCCTCGAGAGCCTGCTGCTACTCAAATATATACTGATCTTCACTCCTTTATACCAGGTATAGTTCTAAGA